TAGGTGGAGTGGCGCCCCGAGGGCCTCCTGCCACCAGGCAGCCTCCCCCTTGCAGGGGGTCAGTGACTCCCACCTTGAGCTCCGGGGAGAAGGAGAAGAGAAATGTTTCCCCTGTGCCATAAAAGCAGTTGCTCATGCGAATGGTGGAGGTGCAGAAGGCACCGAAAGCCTGGAAGGGAAGCAGAGGGGAGATGGTTACAGTGGCACACGTTGGCGTGCCTTAGCAGGAGTCTCGGCAAACATGGCAAATCCCCCACTGATCCAGCTCTCGGAGGTGTAGTCGTGAGGATCCTGGCTTGCTCCATTGAGGGAATGGTGTGAAAAAAAAAAAAAAAAAGAAGGGGAGCACATCAAATCTAGGAATGGTCCTGAACTGGGGGGGGCACACCAGAGGGCAGAGCTGCCACGCGGGGGGACCTCAGCTGGCTGACCAGAGGAGTAGGCCAACAGGAACCTCAGGGAGCAAAATGCACAGCCCTGCCCTGCGAGGGAATAACGCCCCACGTGGCAGGGCTGGCGCAGGGATCTTTCCTCTGCTCAGCACCGGACGGACCCCTCCCTCTGCGTACTGGGGCCTGGGTACTTGGGCTCCCCAGTACGAGGCAGACACCAACATGCTGGAGCAAATCCAGCGGAGGCTACGGAGCCAGCTGGGGCTGGAGCACGGGACACGCGAGGAGAGGCAGGGAGGGCTGAGTCTGTTCAGCCTGGTGAGGAGGAGGCTGAGCAGGATTTCACTGCCTCAGCCTGCTGCCCCCTCCACCTCCTGGTGTTTTGGTGCTTGCTACGATGCAGGGAGGCCTGGCCTGCAGGCTCGCGTGCAGTTCATTTCGGACTGAGGGTAGGAGGGCCTGGCCATACCTGCGCCTCAGTGTCTCTGATGAGCAGCAGCACAGGTGAGCTGAGATGGTTCATGCGCCGGTACATGGTCTTCAGGCTGAACCCGTCCCTCGTGGTGCAGTACAGTAGGCTCCAGGGCTGCTGGGTCAGCCGGAGGGGCAGGTGGGGCACCAGCTAGGGCAGAGAATGGTCAGCGAGGGCTGGTCAGGCTGCTTCCCACCCCCACCAGCCTGCCCAGCAGCACCCATCCCACAGCAGCCCCAGGCCTCTTCCTAGCTCTTTTCCTCCTGAGCTGAACCCCTAGCTGCTTGCAGGGAGCCTGGGGCTTGAGGCCTTGCCCTCTACTCAGCCCTGGGCTCTGCTCTCCAGGCTGGGGCAGCACAAAGGCAGACCAGGGCAGTGCTGCAGTGGGAGCTCCTGGCCTCATCCCCTGAGCACCTTCTAGGGAGGCTCCTCTGAGCATCCAGGCCCCTTCCAGCATCCTCCCAGGAGGCCACAGGGCCTGCAGGCAGGCAGAAGCAGTTCCCAAGTACTTCTCTAGGCAGCCCTGTGCCTGGGGGCCCAGAGATGCTCCAAAACAGCAGAGGGCATCTTCCCTCAGAGAGGGAAGGGGCCAATTGCTCTTAGTGTTGCAGGACAGGAAGAGCGAGTGATACAGCGCTGCTCCTGGAGCGGGTTAGCACATGGTAGGCAGCCCAGGGCGAGGGGCTCCGTTTTTCTGCACTCCGGCAGGATGTGGGGCCTGATACCTCCAGGGCTGGCACCTGAATGTTCCCATTACAGGATCCTTGGGGAGCCCCAGCCTGGCCATGGCAGATCAGTCTGTCCTGATCCCCCCTCCCCCCAGGGCCCACGCAAGTGAGCTGGTAACGGGGACACTGTGCTGGGAAGCCATGCCCCAGGCCAGGCTCCTCTTCTCCAGCAGTGCTGGGCCATACTCACTGCCCCTTCCTGAGGAGCATGGGGCGCTGGCTGGGCCTGGGCCTTGCACCCGGGGGCAGGCTGGGCAACACTAGTCCAGCCTCGCACTGGACAGATTCCTGGCGTGACATAGGCCGTGCCTCCACAGTGCCGGGGAGCCAAGTGCGATGGTGGGGCAGCCAGAGCTGAGGCCCCTGTGCTGGCAGGATGGTCCCTCACCTCCTGGATCTCCTTGGCCTGCAAGATGCTGCTGGGCTCACTCAGCTGCAGCTTGCAGGGCTCCTCCGGGGGCAAAGGCGCCACAGGCACATCTTCCCCACCTGGCTGCCCCTCGTCATCCGGCTCAGCACATCCCGGGGGCAGGTCCTCGTCTAGGTCCACCTGGGGGCAGATGGGAGGTGAGTACCCTTCCCTCCCCTGAGTCCAGCATCCTTGCCTCCAAGGGAGAAGGGGTACTTGGATGGCAGCATCCCTCAACCTGGCCCCATGCTTGGTCTCCCTGACCTTGCACAGGGGACAGAGGCCGGATGGAGGGGCTCGAAAGCCTCCCCAGCCCACGGGGGCTCCTTGGCACAGCCTCCAGCCTAGCTTCCTGCTGTGCTGTGCTCCTGGCCCGTTGTTGCATGTGAAGTTCAAGACTGCTGAGCCAGCAAGGGAGGCGGGAGCTTCCACAATCTCAGCACTACAATCCTCATCTGAAGGATTTGGCAGCCTCGAATAGCTGCCGAGCACTTCCCTGTGGGGAGAGAAGGGCTGGCCTGTCCCCTTGCCCGAGAGCACAGGCAGGGACAGGGATGGCTCAGGATGGGTGGCAGCAGCTCATGGCACCGGTTTCACCTGGCCATGGCCCACATTTGCGGGGGATATCGGCGCACAGCCCAGGTCCTCAACCCAAAGGCAAAGGAGGGGATTGTGAACCTGAAGATCCTTTCTCTCTCTAAAGAAGATCTTTCTCTCCCCCCCACTCCTAAAGATTATATTTGAATGTCCTTTCTGAGACATTGCAGCCACCAGTCTGAAAAAAGAAGTGCAGCCGTGGGTGCGTGATGGGAAGGGACCTGCTTGGCTGTGCCGCGCAGCTCTGGGCAGCCGCAGCGGGATGCAGAGGGCAGGCAGCGGGTGGTCATGGGGGCTGCTGTCCCCGTGCCCTGGACGGGGCTGCTGCCTGGTCCCAGCGGCATGAGGCCTCGCAAAGCTGCCCTGGGCCACGCGGGTTCCCAGGGTGATGCTGCCCCTGGGGGTTTTGGCGGGTCTGGTCTGGGGTTCATGGTAGCTGTGGAGCCGGGGGGGCCAGCTCAGCTCAGAAGGTGTCTGGCACCCCATGCCCGAGGGAGGGAGGGCAGCAAGGCCCAGCCTGCTGCGGTGCTGGGGGGGGCGTCAGGGTCCCGGAGGATGGTGTGGGACCAGGCTCCGCAGGCCAGCTCTCTCCCAGGCACAGCACGGCCACCTGTCCCCGCAAGGCTCGTCCACCCTTCCCTGCCTGCTGGAACAAGCAGAAAGTACCGTACGGACCCGGAGAGGAAAAGAAGGACCAAGCACTGCCTGCTCCAGAAGGGCAGGTGACCTGCAGGCCCTGGGGTGGTTAAATCCCTCTGGCAGCTGGGCAGCTCCCAGAGCGTGCCTCATCCCCCCTCGCTCGCCCACAGCCAGCCTGGCTGGCTGCCTGGCGCGGCCGCTTCCTCTCCC